GGATAAGCTGTTAGACACGTAGCGTGTGGTTGTGGGAGGGTGAGTAGTGAAGATATCACTCTATTGAATCATTGTCCGAGTTGCTTAAAATAGATCATGGATGGATGAGCTGTTAGACACGTAGCGTGTGGTTGTGCGAGGGTGAGTAGTAATACAACCACTCTATTGAATCATTGTTCGAATTCCTGAAAGTAAAAACACGTACATGTGTGAATTAATACAGACCTTATAGCTTGCCACTACCATGGTACTTATACCTTTGACATCGCTCAATTCCACGAAGTTTACTAAACGTCCCAATCCCTATGTACACACAATGCCACCCACCTGCCGTGCGCACCGGCACTTGTCTGTTGTTGGTCGCCGTTTTTATAACCCGCTCGCTCGCTTTCCCACTGTTGTTTCTCCTGCAGGTGACACAGTCAACAGAACTTTTCAGACAAAGCACATCAGACAGATAGAACAACCCGCATCCAGCCAACCAGTACATGTGTTATGGACAAAGACGTCCATGGGCATGCCAATGTATAGTGTGGACCATCTCCATGTGTATCGCGAACGTGTCGGAAGAAAGAGGCGCCATATTCACATGTCCCTTGTAAACACTGTGGAAGCCTCACAACCAGCAGAGTGTTGTCGATGTGCATCAGCGTCAAGAACACTGTATCTGATGTGACTACATGGCACGTGTCAGTGTACTATCAACAGGAAAAGGAGAACATAATCCAGTGTGGTGGAGAACTGGCTGGTGTGCTCATGCCTACCTCGGTTCCATATAAACATACATATACTCTCCTGATTCGCTCCTATGCACCCGCAAACCCTTGTGTGCATGCACATATCCTACTGGTTGGTTATGCATACATATGTACCCTCCTGAGTTGTTAAATACACCTGAATACCCTCTTCAACTGCTTGTGTGCACACACTTACCCTCCTGAGCTGCTTCACTTGGTACTTAAGCTTGCGCCGGATGTCCCGTTCTCGTACCAATCGCAGATGCATGTCGTCTTCGAATGCGTAGAGGAGAGAGATGGCTGCATCCAGTGTGTCCAGAAGTGATGTGGTGGTCGTCTCAAACGAAGCCATGGAATCCTGAGATGTGAGCCATGGGATGTTGGGTTTAGAGTTTAAGGTCTAGGGTTTAGAACCAAATACACGTGGTGAATACAACCAAGGAACTATCCATCACACACTGTCTCAGATTGGTAGGAAACATCCCTTGACCAACACTCGTTATCAACACTCGTGACTTTTGTAAACCCTCAGACCCAAAAAACAGGGCGGTAATGCACGACTATAACTGTGTGGTGGAAACCGTTGAGCAATTGAAAGTAACCACGATACTCAGAGAACAATAAGGGTATAAAAGACTCTGCACATAAATATGTCATTGTTGTATATGTACACACACTTCACCCCATCAAACACACACACCGCCCCTCTAAATATAGCATATGCCGCTTGTTGCTTGCGTTAATAGTGCGATGTTCTAAATTGTATAGACAACTTAGCTACACAGATGTAGTACACACAATTATCGGTACAGGTTAACATTACAACTATCTATACAAGTATAATCGAACCACTCTGTCACCTTGATGTTTTCGGATAGATCTGTCTCCTCCTCTACGGCAGCGATGACCTTCTTTTGCATCACAACCATGGCCTCGCTGTACGCATCGAGTTCCTGCGAAATGTAGGGTTTTATAATTTTGGCTTTGGGTT